GGATACGACGGGTAAATCGACCCAAGTTTGACTAACTTCACGGCGCACTGTGAGTCCCGCAGCTCAGTTGGTATAGCATGGACTGCGCAAAAGCCTTCCCTGTTGTGTGGGTTCGACTCCGACCGAGGTCGCGAATTTTTCACAATTAGGTCAACTGAATTTGCAAATTAAGTCTATAGTTTTTTTTTCTCCTCAAAAAATGTTGATTACCGTCGGAAAGAAGGCCCAAGATGAGAGCAGGGAAGGTTTAAGAGCGCGGATGGAATATCGCCGCTTTACAATCAATCAACGCTCGTACTGTTTGCGCATATTGCTGCCAAACCCGCTTTACAGCAGAATATGCACTTGACAAGGCCATTTAAGCCATATGAACTCACTGCGTTTTGGGGATTTCTCGTTCAGGCTTGCTCAGACCGGAAGAAGACACAGCCGATGACGGGAAGGCAGGAGAAGACGATGATGAGGGCGGTAGTGGTGGTGACCTTCTATCGACTTCTTCCTGCACCGTGCGATTTGCAGACGTCTTTTCGTCGGCCTTGAGAAGTTCAGCCACGCGACCATCAAGAGTGTTTAGGAAGGTTCCACCCTTTTCCGCTAAATTTACTACCCAGGACATTTCACCTTCAAAAGAAAATCGAGGTGCAGGCGGTTCAGGGGGTTGTCCAAATATAAATACGAAATACAGCCACAGCCAAGGCGGTGGAGAGAAAAGAGGAGGAAGGCAAGAACACATATACGGAAAATGCCGGCCCTAGCAGTAAAAATAGGCAGAGGTAGATCAACCTATGGTCAGTGGAGAGAATGGTTATGCCAAGATGCCCAGCAGATCGATATTCCCACCTCCCCTCAGTGTGAGTCAACGATCAGTTGTGCTCGAAGACTCCGTCCGTGATTCCGAGAGCACGGCTGGCGTTAACTAAGACCGGCCGATCGATAATACGATAGCGCGACTGTCTACGATGAAAAAGTCGCAAAAAGACCGACAAATTAACAATGCGCACATCAGATTAAAAATGTGACCACTGATTAACTGATAAGAAGGCAATCTTTCGGCTTGGGGCACATTGAGTTGGCGAGGGGAGGTCATACAAGGCTAGGAAAAATGTACCCTGCTGGGAAGGCACTTTGAACATCCAGAAGTAGAAGACAACTCGATCGCTGGGACACTATCTTTATTTGCTTGACGTTTCGATATCCGTCGCGGATTCATTTTCAGAGACATACTCACAGAACAGTAGCAGAAACGGTTCGTGTGTGCACAGGGTTCCGCCGTAAAATTTTAACGTACAGAAAAAATGGATGAATATCCTGGGTGTGTTCTGATTCGTCACGTCAGCCATGACTATCTGGCCTTGCGGTGTTGGCATAAGATGATGTGGTGGCCCATCTGTTCCACGAATAGCAGTTTGTTTTGGCCAAATTTAGTCTCAACACCGAATATGGATTGTGGAAATCGTTGCATTTGTTGATGGATTGGGGGCCCGTGAACCATGACTCAAGTAATTCTCGATGATGAACCGCAAAATGAAAATATATACAGTAGAGAATCTATCTTATAAAACGGTAGCTAAAACGCGTTTCCAATTAGAAATGATTGCCTCTATGGAGCCTTTATATTCATAATTATATTCTTGTGGAAATTCTGGCCAAGTTTAGGCTTTTACTACGGGATGTGTTATGGGTTGTGTGTGTGTGTTCGACCATCGATTTCGAAGAAGTGGGTGTCAATACTGGCTCAGGGAGGCCTAGACTGGTACGGCTACTACTATTTCTACTGCCACTAACTAACAATGCACCTGAGTTTTAGCGGTACTGGTAATACTTCTGAAGCTAATATTAGTCAGAGGTGACGCTGAATAAAAATCAACGCTGGGACTCATACCCCTGGTTTGAAAAAGGAGTGCGAATGTGGGTTTATGCTATTCCTAATAAATGCGTGATTGGGGCCCGGAGCACATCAGGGCTTGCCTTAGTTTCCGCCATTTCAATTCTGTCAATCAGTTGTTACTAGGTTTCGACTACGAGAACTAAGATAATGTTGCTAGAAGTTAAGTGCCTACGCTAAAGTGCTAATTTTAGTAGTGATACTTACTAAGACTAGCAAATAGTATTCTATAATACGGCCAGCGTATACTTGTTGGAAGTTGGCACCCAATATGCACTC